GAGCACGTTCTGCATAAGTGAGTGACGAAGGGGGAACATCCGTAAATCGTTTTTTCCTCCATCCCTCTTTCCAACAGCAATCACCACGAGATAAGTTCGTTGAATATCATTAAGTCTTGCTTCCAAAGGAAAAGGTAGAAAGAGAAAGGGTCGAAGAACTTACCACCCGATATCAAACGAAACGGCAGAATTCGCAAATCAGTTCACTACTTAATTTTTCTTCATTCTTTAATATTGTCAAATTATCCTTATCTTTCTTTATTCTTCTTCCAATTTTATAAAGTCTTTTATTCTAAACTATATTGTAGACAATAGATTGAAAGGAAAAATTATTTCCAGAGATAAAGAAAAATCGTGTAGAAAATAATTTTGCTTGAAAAATATTTAATTATATAATTTTAATAAAGAAATTATTGTTATAGAATTTTGTTGTTTCTAATGAAAATATTTTCTGGTATTTTTTGTCTCATACCCTTCGGTCAATGATCTTATTATTAACGTTGTCGAGTTTTAATAAAAACTTGAAAAAACTACCCTGAATTCTTCACACATTAACAGTTACTGTGAACTTTATTAGACCAACACGAGACGCAAAATTACTTTCTTTTAAGTCTGTAATTCTGCATGACACAAAGAATTTTTTTTTTCTATAATAAGTTCACAGCTATTTTCATACAAACTTAAAAATAAACTACACATTTACCTTTTATTATACCATATTCTACAATACAATAACCCTTTTATATTTCCTAGGGCCATTGAAAAAAATTACTCTGACTAGGGCAAGTATTGAACATTTTTAAATTTGACTTTTCGAGTAATTAATGTCATTAACGTTCAATTCTGTCCCATAATAGCTAAATGAAATAGTATTGTAGTTATGTCAGAAGTTTTCAAATGGAATTGGAGTTGGCAAATTGTTCGTTCGTCATGGGTTCGTTTCCGTTGACTGAAAGAAATATAACTAGCAAATGTACCTACTCTAATGTCTACATTGACATCCTTTCTCGATAAATGTCAGCATATTTCAGAACTTTAATTATCAATTATAAATTTAAATCAACGAGGAGACATTTGTCTATCAACACAGTCTGTCTTATCTTCATCTAAAACTTGAACTTAATTTAAGATATCAATCGAAAAAAAATATTATATTAATTTCATTACGATCACGACTAATATTATTATTATTATTATTATAGGAACTGAAATGTTCATTATCGTGGAGTTGCCTGAAATCGGAGTCTCTCAAGCCATCTCATTAGCACTTGTGAAATGTAAACTGGGAAGAAAATTAAATAAGAACAGCCCGATTTAATGGTAATAAATGTAAATATTCAATATCAAGGCATGCCCTGGAGGACAGAAGAAGAGAAAAGGGAAAAGAAACAATTAAGTTAGATTGCTGTTGAACATTTGAGAAGATTCACAGTTGAAAGATTAGATGTGATAGTGTTGGCGCCAGCGGTACTTGCTTCATCGTTCACGAAGAGTATCGCGGCTAGCACTTTTAAACAATGAAAGCTGATTGAATCGACCCTCGGCTGTAACCATTTGGCTGCTCTTTCCAGTATAAAACGGAAACCGTCCCGGGGGTTCAGAGGACATTCCGTGCTCACAGAAATGCACACGTACATCGCAATTCTGGCTTCCGAGCCAACGAGGACATGAAATGGAGGGCAGGAGAATGGTACCTTTGCCACAGGTTCACCCGGAAACGGTATATCTACTTACTGAGCCCACCGACATCGTTCATCTCTTCCGGTCTGTTCGCTTGCTTTGCACTAAACACGATCAACTGAATAATTCTCTGCTATTCCTCCTATTTCTAGGTGTTCCTAGGTCAACTTAAGGTAAATGCTAGAAAATCATTCCCTATTTTATATTTATGCTTCATATCAATGATCATTTATAATAAAAGTGCTACGTTATCGGAATATCGGGGAATGGAATATTACCAGTAATTGGGATACTTAGGAAGATTGGTGCATTGATTTAATGAAGCAGTACCAATTATTTGAGAAATCCTTTTATTTTAATTAACTCCTGGAGAAATTACTCCAATAGAAAATTTATTTCATTTTACAACAAAATTCTCTCTAGTAGGTTTAACTCAGCTTATTGCATGTGCATGCGGTGAGTATAAATGCTTCCAACCTAGTTGATTGAAATTTATGTTTTAATTCATGGTCGAACGGCATGGTTCCGCAAACAAAACGGGATACGCGGGATGTGCCAGACCAATGTCATTTCGTTTCTCTGTTTACTGTTAATTTATAATGACGTTTAGTAAGCTGTATGTCTGCCAATAAATACTAAAACCATTAAGAACAACTAATATCGAACAAATTATTTCGTACTTTTATTACATCCAGTACTGGAAAAAAATCAAACTTTTAATAGCCTGGTACTTGAATTTATCGTGAACATTTTCAAAGTTGATGTAACCAAGTTTTGGATGACTACAATTTTTAAAAAACATTTCAACATACACAGAATGCTAGTCATCTGTGACCAAAAATTACTCGTAACATTGTTATGCAATGTATAAGAGCAATTGATTGAAAATCAAGAATGTTTCATCGGGAAAATAGAGATTGAAAATTTAATGCTGGTTTATTTGACTATACTCAACCTAACCATTCGTGGAGGCTGACGAAATGTTACCTCGTTTATCGTTCGATTGAACGCGAAATAATTTGATTAATTACATAGCATTTGATTGGTGAGTGGAAGAACAGTAGTAGCTAGAAGATATTTTCAGAATAATTCATATTTGCTTTCGGTTATACCGCTGGTAAAGTATTCATTAGTGAGCACCAAATATAATAAATCTACTGTTATCTTATGCAATTTTTAAAATCTCCAAATAACTATGATTGTATGGATAAGGATATAATGAGAATAAGGATAATTAAAAGACATTTTGTAGAAAAACATTTACATATTTATATATATAAAATATAATACAATTTGTTACAGTGTAAATGATATAGTGTAGCGATCGATTATTTTTTTCCATCATTAAGGATCGAATGTAAATATTGTAATTGGGTATAAAGATCTAGGAGTTCTCTGGAAGGGTAGAGTTACGTAAACAATAGCGCTAAGAGACACTATTCTTTTTTTTTATGTATATATGTATATACTTATTTGTTCAAATTATCAACGGACAAATTTTGTCCCATATGTGACTATTAGATGATTATAAATCTAAAGCTATTTACAAGATTCATATTATTTACACTTCCGCTTACTCATTCATCAAGAAGAGTAACGTACATACCATCCAACAATTCCTAATTTTCTACATACAATACATACAGAATAGTTGTATTTAATTTCGCCATGATATCAATAATCGTCTATTTTATTTATATAATAATTTTCATCCTGACTCTTATAATTTTTTTATTCGTGTCAATAACATTCCGGTAATGTTTAAATATTTATAATAATTACGAAAATTGGTATGCTGGCAAAATTATACTAGTATTTATGTTAGAAATATACTAACATATAGATGATACAAGATCGTTGAATATAAATGCGATATCGTCTCTTCTATCTAATATTTATTCGAAATATATTCGTGTGAGAATAATGTGCGACACTTGGCTGATTGTTTTGATCATATCACCGGTAGTTGCAATTTACCCATACTTTTATCGTCGCATTTACTTTCTATGGAAATAATACAGTAAGAAAAATATGACTTTTAAAAAAAGAATAACTATTATTTTGTGTAACCTTTTTTATTCTTCGAAATGCTCTTTGTTCTCTAGATGTATTTCGCAGATTAAATTTTTTATAATTATGAAAGATTATACACAATCAAGGTTAAATAATAATTATTCTTCAATTAATAATTACTTTTTTCTCACTGTAATAAGATTAAAGTAGTTGATGGATTTTCTTTTTTTTTTCTTTTTGAATAATACTACAGCATGAATAAAAAGTTGCTATAAGAATATTGGACTGTGCATGAATGACCTTTCAGCTGTAATGAAATTTTTATATTAATAATTTGTTGTTATTTTTTAATTGATTAACCACTGTTATCTATAGATATTGATTAATTTTTAGATAGTCAATCAAACAGTACTCCAAAATGAATTTCTATCACTCATTCCCCTAATTTTCCCATGGAAATACTCATACTCATGTAAATTGTAAATCTGTGCGAATTGTACGATAACAATAAATTGATAATTGTATTACACGCGGTACTGTCAACTTTGATGCGATTTGTTTCACACCAATTGCAATTGGAGAAATCAAATCAAAAGCTGCTATGCATGACGACAATTCGTCCATTGACTCAATTGAAACGTTCAAGCAATATTGGCAGTATTATTTCATCACGCGGTACGATGATGAGTTTTATTGATTTTTTATCAATGAATAAATGATATTTCATTCCTTTCTTTTTTTTCATGTTGATTTTTTCATAATTATAATTTAATTTACTTTTAGTTTACTTAATTTACATAGTAAATTTTTTTTTCATGGAATTTGTCATAAATTATTGCCCTATGGCACTACGACACATTGAATTCTATATGACATTTATCAATAATCGTATTAAGTTGTAAAATATTCCCTACAATATTCATTATATCGATTAGTAATCTACAAAAATTGCTACCGCTTTTGGAGAAACATTCGTTATAGTCAGATAGTTAAGTTTAATTATTAATTGAAATTTTTATTCACATTTATATTTTGTTTTCATACACAGATAAATCATTCACAAATAGAAAAAATCCATAATTCACATAGAAAAGTTTGTTTTAAAATAATTGTAGTATAAAAAGAGTTATTTATTCAATATCTTTTTAATAATCATCACATAATAAAGTTTATTGTAAACATTGTTATCGTATCATTATTTTATTCTAAATTATGTTGTATAATAACGATAATAAAAATAAATTGTCTGTCACATTAAATTAATAAAGTTCAAATTAATCAATTCATCTATTGAAAACCTTGAATTGATGACAAATAAATCCTAATTTAAATTAAATTCATACTTCAAACAATTTTGATTGTTTTTAATGATATTACTAACAATACTTGTCAACAATAAACTTGATTACTTTTATTATTAAAAAGATAAAAGAGATGGAAATATTTAATTAAATGTTATTCAAACAGAAAGCAATTTTTTAATGAAAAAAATGTATAAATTTTAAGATTTCTACAAATCGTTTTCGCGTAAAAAATTTTTTTTTTTCAAATCGAAAGTTTGATTAGGGTATAATATCGTGATAGAAATAGAAAAGAGAATTTTTTTTTTGAGTATGCATTGAAAGATGCAATCTAGTATGAGAATAATGATGAGTAGTGCGTGAGCGAGTAATTCATGCACAATGTGTATCAAATGTCTACGTAAATACAGTTGCAATGGTTCCAATTCGCGTATCAGTGCGCAAGGATGAACGATCCAATTATCGTGAGTGGTTTGTAATCGTTTACAACTTTAATTAATTACACCCTAAAAAATTCCACATTAATTAATCAACATACTATGTAAATAAATGAATTACTAACTTTCCCAATAATCTCTGTTGCTTTCAATATAATTAACACAAGAAAAAATAAATAAATAATTATCTATGTCATTTAATTAATAATAATATTTAATTATTAATTAATAATTTGCAGCAAATGCAAAATTATTCTTCATTATTATCTTTAATAAGCTGTACAAAATATTACAAATAGTACGTAAATTACAAGCACAGATTAAGTTAATGCGTTAAAAAAGCGTCAAGATTGTATCTTAGAGATTTTTCATAATTAATTTTCAAATGTAGTTTTCACGTATAAGATGTTAAGATTGAATTTAGAAAACTATACTTTCTAATGATACATATCTTGAAGCCTAATACTTTTAACGAGATAAATCGACCTGTGCTTGTACAACAATTGCAAAAAATACAAGGATAATCATCTAATTAACAAAATATACAGAATATGCTCAGGGAACCGTACAAAGACGATATCGTTTTCCCTGAATTGCCGAGTCAGCAAAATACCTGCGAGGGTAGTGCTTGCGTGCAAGTTTTGCGAAACAAATAGCTAAAACGTGAGTGAATTGCATTTTTGCAGAAAACCCATTCGCGGTATCGCCATCAGCTCGACTAAATTCCTGACGGCGCATAAACAGCCAACGTTTTACTTCTTTTCGTGAGAAGCTTTAAAAAATAATTTTCTTTTGTAATTTATGTGGATATCTTCCGATTTGTCTTACAACCTAATTTTATTTACAATGGACGAAAAATTATTTTTAAAATAAACTCTATTGACTTTGGTCACAAAATTCTCCTGAAAAGGGTTATTCAACCAATGTAGAAGGTTGTTTTTTAATTTCAATGATTACTTTTGATATTTTAAAAATAATTCTCTTTTATAACAGGATTATTTTTTAAATTAAAATGTCAATTCTCATAATTTAAACTTTCAATAATTAACAAAAATCAATGAGATAAATCATTCATGCATTCGGAAGATATCAGAACATATTTCATTTTTATGTCGAGTAGCTAACTATAAAAAATTGAAAAGTACCTAGTTATAATTTATAATAAGTGCATCAGCAGCATCACGATAAATTACTTACATCATCACCTCACAAAGTTCATCCAACCGTATGGTAATATGGATGCCTGTGCGTGTATTCAGATGTACCAACTCGTCTATTTATTTAGATATAAACTTGGTATGTTCATCTGAAAATTGCAACAACAATCGCGAGAATGAGAAAAGCAGGTGCTCTCATTACATTAGAACTTCCTGCAACTGGACTTTCACTACTCCGTGATACTTTACTGCGGACAAGTTGGCCACGTTCAACGGCATTAGCTTCGTCACTATCAGGATCAACGGAAGCTCCTAAATCACCATCCTCACCAAAGAGCCGAGATAATTTATTTCTCGGGACTTTTTTTGCACAAGGTAATGCAGTCTCTTCGTAGGGTTTCAAAATCCTTGGATAGTGGGCTTCCTGAACATCAGTATTTGGTATTATGCCTCCTTTGCTGTCCCAGCAAAGAGGCTTAAATGTACCACGATGGGTTGCTTCTTGGAAACTTTGGAAACTAGTTTCCCAATTGTAATGGACTAAGCGTTCTTCAAGTGTCATTCCAGCAAGTTCTTCTGGCGCTTCAATAATAACTGGAGATGCTCCTCTGTAATACAAAAAATTGTTATATTTTATGAGTATTTGAATTCAATTTGTAAAAAAAATCAATTAATAAAAATCACTTTTTTGTAATTGTAAAAGCATTGACAATATTTAATAAAACACTTTAAATTATATCGAGAATATTATCTAATCATACTTCGCTTTCATAACTACCGTTATGCGTCCATATTAAAGATACGAGGGTCGTTGATAAGCAATTTGCAATGATTGTGAGTAGGGTAATGGTAACAGTGAACAACCTGATTGCTCATAAAAAGCTTCCTATCGTTTAATTCTGTTGATTGGTCTAACATAATAGCATATACATGGACAATTAACTATTACAACCATATGCTGTACTATACTGTACTCGCTACATGTACCATTTATTTCATACATATTGTCTATAAGCATGCATGTATACATTAATAATCTAAAACTTACTGCTTTAGTTTCTGAATTCCCAAACTTTGCAGAACTGTTGGAAGTGACGGAAGAGAATAACAAAGTGATAGTTCAATGCGGGGATAGTACAGAGCTGATACTAAACATGTCTCTTCGCGCGTTGTTAGACCCCCCAATGTCATAGTTGTGCGGGATTCCGATGAATATGTGCACTCTGCTACTAAATGATCTCCCTGAAATCATAATTAATCAAACAGATTAATAAATGCTTAGAATAATGAAAATAATTCGCATAATATTAAGATATAATTATTTCAAACATGAAGGAACTTAATTCACTTGATTGAATTTAAAACAAAGCAGCTTAATAGAAAATAACATAAATAGATCAATTGAATGAGTGATACTTACGGGATAAACTTTAACAGGTCGTTGTAATCTCCGATACTCTTGATAATTGGGGTCGTAGTTTGTATCAGAGACAATTGGAGGAAGCTCTTCACTAGCTCGAATCTGCCTCAATCTAACTTTCCTGCCCAGCTGATGAGTATGCATAATAACAGCAAACATATTGACGCCTGATTCAGGGATGGTTTGTCCCGTGCAATCTGCAACGCAATGCCCTTCCGACACAACTTCCCTTTGACCAGGAGGTATAATATGACGCCAGTTGGGATCTATACCGACACTTAAAATTCCCGCATCATGAGTACGTAACTGATCAGTGTACAACAACCTCAATCCGGAACTGTCACTGATAAAATTATCAAGCGAGGGATTGGTGTAGTGTGTTTCAAGCATATAGAAACGAGGCCCAGATGTTGGATCCAATGCATATCCGGCTTCAAGAGGATAATTAAATCCCTAAAAATAAACGATTTATGTTTTATTTCTGCTATCTATTTTTAAGCATGACCTCAATCCTTGATTCCATTCATTAATGTCAAATTTTTAATTTATTCTATGAATTTTATTGAGAAAATCAGCGAAATTTTGGTATCGGGCAAATTTATATTTATGGTGAGTAAGATTAAATATAAATTAAACTGCCAGCTATTTTGAAATGAAATTAGAAATTGTATAAATAATAAGAAAATGATGTCTGATCAAGTAAAAAGCTTATCTTGACTACTTGAATACTTAATAGAAAATCGTAATAACAATAATACATCAGTATTATAATATTGAATTTTCTGAATTACCTCTGATCCCAAGCTCCATGTTGCAGCTATTGATGTGCACTGTAGAGATGGTGCATTTGGTTCATAGCACACACTACCATTCATTCGTGCTGCATTTTCCAAGTCTGAATCTTTGCCTCTGCATTCATACAAAGTCATATGATGCAAATACTGCTGATTCCCTGGATAAATGATGGGTTCGTACTGAAAGGAAGTTGAGATTTATTATTTAATATCGTCTTACTCATAGATCTATAGTAAAATAAAAATAATCATTGGTCAATAAAGGGTTGTACCAAGAAAACTTATGTTCTATAGACTTCTTATATATTTTTTTATCGAAGAAATTAAATAATTGAGAATAGCTTCTGAGAAGAAGTTAAATTTATCAAAGTATTGATCGATAGGCTTTTCATTCGTTCTCCAACAATTGGCCTGATTTTTTTCTAGATTTTTCAAGTTTTATTTAGAAAACAATCATGAAAGAGCTTCGAATAAAAATAAATATACTATTTTATTGATGAAATATTCAAATACATTGAAAAAATAAATTTCAATTATTAAAAAAATAGAACAAAAAATCAAAAAAAAAATGGGAAATAAAATTGTATAAAATATTCTACTACGATTTTATAATAAAAAACATCGATGAATCAATTGAAAAGCACATTTTGAGTTTATTTTTTATAAGAAGAATACAAGTATTATTGAAATATGAATTTTACCTTGACAACGTGATGTTTCCGTTGGATATTTGGCATTTCTACTACCAAACACCATAAAAGAGAATCCTGGCCCATCGGCAATTTAACCTGCAATCAATAATAGACATAAATCGAGCTGAATAAAAACAAAAACATTTTAAAATACGTTTTCAGACGAATTCGTTATTTGTCTATTTTAGAAAGGCTATTTTGTTCGATAACTACTGGCTATGCCTCTACAAATATCATTCGACGGTCGATTCGACGCGTTACATTTGTAAAAACGAGTAAGTCTCTACCCAACGAGATGTTCACGGCACTGGAAAACCAAATATCAAAGTTAGAATTCAATTATCGATGGCGTGTGCTAGAATTTTTTTTGTATTTATTTCTCTCGTTTTTTAAACTCTTGCCCTCATTCTTTCCTATTTCTGCTGAATCATATGATGAAAAAAAATGTTCAAACAGCCAGATCAAGAATAATCCGTTATGTAGATATAAAACTTTAAACAGAAAAGTTTCTATTCCCACATGTGTATGCACTTCACATCAGTATTCCGGAATTTAAATTGATTTAATTGAATTTCCTATTGTCAGCTACATATAAAAATATTTATAAATAAAAAAGCTTTCTTAAATAACTACACAATAAAAAAATCAATGCTCTCAAATCAGGAATAATTTTATTCTTAAATATAAATCTAATGACGTCACAGTGATGGATCTATGACACCAGTGTGATGTCAGTATGATTGTGATGAAGAGAGAATTTATTCTTGATCTTATTATTTTTTCGAGACAGTTTTTTTTAGCAAGTAAAGGGTAAAAAAAGTAGTTTTTTTGTTTTAGTATAAATTACTTTTAATTAAAAATATTCGAGGGAAAATTATTCAACGAAAATGGTGAATTAATTATCGAGAGATAAATGTATATTACCTGTTGATTTATAATATCCCATGTCTTTAGATTTGGCGCGGCTTGCTGATTCCGAGACATACGTTTGGGCTGAGAATCTCGTTGAACAAGATAAAGAGGGCGGGATCCACGAACCGCACCATGAGGAGGAAGTACTCCTGCTGCTGACACAGGCTCCTCTTTATGATACTGCCAAACTACTTTCGTCGTGTCGTTCTGCAAGAAAGTAATGAAAATTGTAAGATTAAAAATTGATTAAGTGCCATAAAAACAAATAAAATAGAAATTTTTATCATAAAGAGAAGAAATAATTTTAATAATGTAGAATTTATTATCTAGCATATTGAAAAAATACTTCTTTTAAGTTGTTCGATCAAACAATAAAATATCTTTTATATTGTAATTCAACATGTCATTTTAGACAATCTTTTTTTTTTAGAAAGAAATATTGATTGAATATTCAGTAAGTACTGATTGTTTAGCATAATTCAAATTACTATCTGTCATCAATACATTCTGAGGAATAAAAATTCCCCAAATAAAAACAGAAATCTGCTCTTGGGAATTGATAAACCAAATAAGAACTTGGAAATCCCATCGTATGTTTTTATGCAAAGATATGAAATCACCCAATTTCCAGATTTGGCGTCGTTCCAATATTGCAGAAGCAGCATGAATTATAAAAATGTCTTTGAGAGAAATAAATAGAGGAGTGTGTTCTGATATAGCCTGAACACCAAAATAATAAAGCTCTACTATTGATCAAATAAAGTTCAGACATAAAATTGAAGAAGACACTTGTATTGTCTATACAATTAAAATACTCAAATGCTGAGTTCCATTTCACAGTTATGTCTATAACGTTAACAAGAGTACTTACTGATGATGATGGAGTTCATATGTAAACTATCTATATTATTCTCGAGGGCTTCTTGGACGATACACACGCAATGGGAAATAAATGGATACACGTGCCATCCACACTTAGAAATTATGCTCAGAACACGTTCATAGTGGAAACTACGAATACATGGTATTTTGAATGCAAAGTGCATGTCTCTACCCTTCTATAGCTTTCCCATGAGAATTGAAAAGGTTCATTAAATTCTATATTCAAGTTCCTTGATGACCAAGAGCGAGGTTGAATTGAGTTCAAACAAATGAAAGATAAACTCAACGGTCTAGAAACAGCGAAATTTGATTGCATATTCTCTTTCGAGGGGAGATCAATCCCCAGGACGTTGATGAGAACTCATTAACAAGGAAGATTCAACTTATAATCATCCATAATTTAAACAGTATTAGAAATTACTGTAAAGGAGGATTTGTGGTGAATTTATATCTCTTCTGAATCATTCGACCAATTTTATTTACTTAACATTCAATAAAAAATTAATTTCGTTTTATAATAACGAAACTTATTTCAAAGACAGACTAATTTAAATTGATCGACATGTTAATGCAGTACATGCATATTTGTGTTTATGTCGTAGAGCACACACAGACTCGTTTGTACTATCAATGACCTCAATCTCACATGATACGTCATTGCACCTTTGCTGGCGAGTATTAGATATATAGATGACAATGACAGGTAATTAGGCTTGTTAAATGACTATTGTCAATATTCGATGAGTTACTTAATATATTGCACACTCAACTAACGTTGATCTGCGTGCACTATATATGCACTCATGCATATGTTTGTAGACATTCATTTTCATCGTCTAAAGCAATTGGCTGACATTTACTTATTGTTATGTAGTTATATTGGTAGGAGGTCGTTGTCTTCCAAGTAACGACCTAAATAGAGACGGTCAAATTATTCTCATTATCAAGAAAATCAAGTATTATAAATACCATCCCAACAATTCATCATCAGATATTTTATATTCTGTGGAGAAATAATTGAAAATTCCTTATAGAATTTTCAAGTTTCTTCATTAATTAAATGCAGATTATAATTAAATTCTTTATGGTTTATCATTTCATTAATCTTAATCTAAGCTGTTGAAAACCTCAAATATTCATCACTCAATACTATCAATAATAAACATTTGCTTGATATTTGACTTTAATTGTATCAATGAGTGTCAATTTAATATAATTCATTGAATAAATCTTGAAATTCATTAGAAAAATTATTTTTTTATCTATGTAAAATATAAATAATTAGCCTCCAAAAAGTTTTTGTAGCAGTTTGTTGATTGTTGATAGAGTGTAAAATTAGTAAAAAATAAGAAAAAACATGACAGAAGTAAGTTAGTAGCGGACGACTTATGGAAGCTACCTGGAAGAACATGAGAAATTAAATTGCAGAATCACGTTGCGGCCGGATTTATCGACCAGAAGAGACTTTCGAACGTGCTTATCACAACATAGATGTGTATATACAGAGTGAATCAAGCTGGAGATTCGTGAAAAACTTTTTCCCACTTACTTAAGGTCTGTCTTTAGATTTATCTTAATTATAATTTCCATTTGAACTTTATGTAATGTTCCACTGCAAATTAATCTGTTAAAAAGCACAAAAAATAGTGGACATTAAATAGTTATGAGTACAGTTTGAAATTAATAAAAAGTATATGTGAATAAGCAGTTTTTTTGAAGATAAAATATTGAAGAGAAGTTTTTTTCATTGAAAGTAATTAAAACTCTATTGATAAACACTAACTTGGTTTTTCTTCATTTTAAAAGTGAAGTCATATTCCAATAACTTTAAAATTTTTATTAAGGCAGTTTAATAAGTTGGATAACAATATGGGTGCAAGTTTAAATTGATCCTGAAAACAGCCATTAAAGACATAGTACTGATTCTACGAAATTATTTTCTAAAATTTAATGTTTAAACTAACGCTAATAATTTTTAATTAAAAGTTCAGGAAAAACCTTTTAAGTGTTCTGAAATGATTTTATCTCTGAAATGGAAATGAAAAAAAAAAGAAGATTTCTTTAGTTTACTATTCATAATTTACTATTTATTTTTTTTCATCAAGGATTACGTCAAACTGCAGCGAAATTCATTTTATCATGATAAAAACTGCAACGAGATTACACAGTTGTGCCGAGGTCTCTACTGGGTAGGATTTTGGCAGGATTTATTAAATCCGACGTGTTACGAAAAAAATTTACGAGCAAGAGAAAGAGAGAAAGAAAGTGAATAGAAAAAAAAGTTAGTTTCGGATTCACTGCGATTGCGAACGAGTTCAATCCCGAGTTCTCGTACCTACCAAATACACCTGCCGATGGCCACGCGGGAACGAAAACTCGTTACCCAAAGAGATCGTGAGAGTAAAATAGCCTCTGATCGAGCCTCGTAATCTGTCGCGAATAAGATTCAATATTTGATCGAGTACATTGCTGTTGCTTCGCCCTTTTATTTGCCTAGGATGTATCCCACGTATTGCAATCGTCTTTCATTCTATTTCTTTTCAAAGCATATCACTTGAACGTGAAGGTTTCAATAGTTGACAGACGGATTTAAATAACCAATACTGTTTTCCAACAATCAATTATTTTTTCTATTTTTCAAAAATTTTTGACATTTTTTCAGATATAACTTTTTTACAACTTTCATTTCTTTCTATATGAACATAAACATAGGCAACTGTTGAGAATAAAAAGAAATATATATAACAAAATGAATGTGTAGTCATGTTGTTATATAATAAGAGAAAATGAAATTTTTGAGTGTAGCTCTGATATAATAATATTTTTTATCGTAAAACAGCTCGATAAGAAAGAGTCTGCGTAATAGTTAACCACATAGTCTTCACCTTCATCTTTTTTTCTTTTGGTCGAGCTACAATTCAGAGATTGGATTGTTCCAAAACCAAGAGGACGTTTTTCCTAACGTGCGAGTAAAAATAACTCCTTGGCTAAAATGGAATTCTCCATTACCAGATCTCTGAGGTTCATGCGGGGAAGTTATCCGCTTAGGTGTTATCTTAATGGCACTTATTGTCTTGACGTATAGCAGTGGGCTACTACCCTTTTTAAGAGGGTGGGCTTATACTCAAAATGTTCTCTCCGTTCACGGCTCTTCACTTGTAGTATTCGTTGCTACAATTCTAGCATACTGTTTCACATCGTCTATTTTAACGATATTGTCATTGACGTTGAATTTATATCTTTAGAAAATAACTGGTTATAAATTTTTTCAAAGTTTATTTTTATCAGTTAAATTGATTAAACTCTTTATTTAAATAAAAAGGTTTTCTTTGAGAACAGAAAGGAAGGATTAATTGTGTCTATTGTTTCAAGATTAGCTCATACTGTAGAATGACGGTGACAGGAAGGATATGTTTGGCTTATTAGTTGAGATTGGCAATTAGTCTTATCGCTTGTTGGACCCAAGGTGATTGGTATTTACGATTCTATCGAAGAGATTGTATGGCGAATTACTTTTCTCTTTCTCCAAGTATCAGTTTCTTATTTTTTTTTCTTCTTCTCTTCCTTCTTTCCTGTTTACTTGATTACTTTCTCAAGGTACGATGGCACGAGAGGCACGCGGCTCTCACGGAATTCCAAATTCTTTCTTGCATGTGTATCTAGTGATCAAAGTGTCTAGACGATAAGATAATAAAATTAATCTCACCAGTCGTGTTAACATAATTATTTGTTTCCAGGTAGCTGATTGTATCAATAATTTATATTTTTACGCGTTTTTACACATTTTCTTTGCAATGACTATATTTTATTAATGTCCATCTATAAATATAGCTAACACATCACAAAGGGAAATTTTTATTACATGCTGACACGAGAGAGAGTGTATATGAAGGAAAAAATAATAAAATCGATGAAAAATGACGCACGTGAATAGCAACTATATCTGTATGCCTATGCAATTTATTGACAAGCATAACTTTGATGGACGCAGTTTCTCTTGCAAACTGTAGAGAAAAAAAATACCAGTGAAGTTTGCTAGTACCATGAAAAGGAGAAAAACGTTAGCACGTTAATTATAACGTACCTTCGACATTTTCATAGTGTGCGTCATTTTGAATTATTTCTATCACTGATTTATTTTTCCAACGATGTTTGTAGTTCGTGCACAATTCTTATGGCGAAATAAAAGGTGATAAATAATGCAAGAACGGAAAATACATCATAGTCACAGTAGGAATCGCAACAGAAACAGAAGACTCAATCACCAGACTCACTACACACCTCCAATCCTAGTCAATCTATATATATATATATATGTACAATTG